GGGTCGGGGCAGTCAGGGGACAGGGAACAGGGCGAGTTGGGTAGGGGGTGGGGTCCTGGGGGGCAGTTAGGGTGGGGGGTCTCGGGAGGGGGTGGTCAGGGGACAAGGAGCGGGGGGGGTTGATGGGTTGCAGGTTCTGAGGGGGGCAGTCAGGGGCAGGAAGTGGGTTGGGGTCGGATGGGGGTTGGGGGGGAGAGACAGGCACGTGGGGCTTGTACTCACCGCGCGGCTCCCTACCGGGTCTTCGGCGGCGGGGTGTGTGTGTGTGTGTCTTCACTCACTCCGGGTGAAGGACCCGCCGCTGAATTGCCGCCGAGGACCCGGTAGGGAACCGGTTATTAGGATTTTGGGAGCTCATCACTGCATAAGGTGAACTTGAAAAAGCAGCAGATGACAAGTTCATAGGCTCAGATCACGAGAGCTTGGTGCTGGAATGTGTGTGATGTCTTGGCTTGTGGATTTACTCTTTGACTGGGGGGAACTGGGCACCTCTGAAAGTTAACTATGTCCATTTTATATTTTTAAAGAAAGATGCTGTCTCAGCTGAGTTCTGCCTCTCTTTGTATCAAGAATTTTTTATTCCGTGATGAGGCGTTTCCTAAGGTTTATAAAAAACAAAAACAACAACAACAAAAAAGAAGAAGCCCAGAGCACTGGATAGGCATACTGTATTTTAAAAGTTAAATTTGAAGTAATACATAAATTATATAGCTTTCTTTTGATATATATGTGCACTGCCAAGAAGTTTGCTTCCCACAATGTTACAGCAAAGTCACAGTGCTGAAACAAACATATCCTGTGACTGTTGCAACTGAGTGAGATACTTATCCTTCTTTCCTGTCTTGGTTATGTGTAAAACAAGAGCATCTCCTATTACCACATCACCAAGACAAGGTGTATCAGCTGGAAGGCCACAGGTCCACGCTCTCACAGTCTAACATGGAGGCTTAATAAAGCTCCACATGAGAACTACACTGGACAAAACATCCAAATAAGCAATTTTACATAATTGTGGAAATATTTCCAGATTTAGAACCATGGTTTCCAACAATGGATGGTTTTGTTTCCCTTTCGATTCATGATTATCAGCACTGCCCAAGCCCAGATACCAGCACAGTACTGGGAAAATACCAATTTCCAGATTCCAAGGAATAAACAGCTCCTATGATTTTTGTTAAACCAATATGGACAGTAACTCCTCACTTAAAGTCGTCCCGGTTAATGTTGTTTCATTGTTACGTTGCTGATCAATTAGGGAACATGCTTGTTTAAGGTTGTGCAATGCTCCCTTATAACGTCGCAGCCGCCTACTTTGTCCACTGCTTGCAGGAAGGGCAGCCCTTTGCAGCTAGCTGGTGGGGGCTTGGAACCAGGGTGGACCGGCAGCCCCCCTATCAGCTCCCCACTCCCCTAAGTTCCCTGTGCAGCAACCACCCTGCAGGCTACCAGTTGTCCAGCAGTTCAGTTGTTGCTCCCACCACTGCCCTGTGCTGCTCCTGGGAGCCTCCTGCTTGCTGTGAGGGGGAGGGAGGAAAGGGGGGGCTAATGTCAGGGTGTCCCCCTCTCCACTGCTCCTGCACCCCGCTTATCCCATCTCCAGGGGGCTGGGGGGAATATGACAAGGCTCAGGATGGAGGGAGCTTCCTGGGAGCAGCTGCTGTCTCAACTTGCTGATCTACTTAACAAGGCAATGTACTTAGAGTGCAGCCAGCGTACTTAAAGGAGCAATGCCCATCTCTCTCTCTCACACACACAGGGTATGTGTCTCTGTCTGCCATGCTGTCTCCCCTCCCTCCATTCCTGCTGCCTTGTAGAGTGTGAGGCTACATTAACAACAATGGGTTAACCCCCGAGGGCTCAGCCAAAAGCTAGTTCATCATTTAGCAGTGAGGCATTCCCTGGGAAATATCCCACCCTCTTCCACCCTCTGACTTCACCACCTCAACCAAGCTTCACAATCATCATCGCTGTGTACAGTATTAAATTGCTCAAAACTTATACAGTGTGTGCATGTATATATGTATGTCTTTTGTCCGGTGAAAAAAATTTCCCTGGAACCTAACACACACCCCCCTTTACATTAATTCTTATGGGGAAATTGGATTCGCTTAACATCCTTTTGCTTAAAGTCGCATTTTTCAAGAACATAACTACAACGTTAAGCGAGGAGTTACTGTATAGATGAAGTTATTTATTTCTATTGCTGTATGGTTGGGCAAAACCCCACATATACTCTTTCACTACAGATCACTAGATATTTTGTTCTAGCTGCTGGTAACACTGGTAGGTATTTAGAACTGGGGGAGCAGAGTGTGTGTGCGCTTTATGTCAAAAGCAAAGAGTATCAGAAATTAATTTGGCTTTTTTTTGGAGTTCAGCGATTAACATCACTCCTGAAGAAATATTCTTGCTAATGAGCCTCACAGAACAGAATGTTTACAAGATCAAGAGCAGAGTTTGAGAAGCTTAAGCCAAACTGCCAAAGACACTATGCAAGCCTATTAGTTAACCTGTGTACCCAAAACTGCACCTAGGGCTTGGTGACTACTCCCTCAGCATGTGATTGTGGGGATGCTGAAATTAAGGGTTGTTTCTATGAAGGAAGACTGCATTCTAAAAGACAATATTTTAGCACCCCCCAATGAACATACCTACAAATATCGTTACTGTGCAGGTGCATGCTTTAAATAGAATGGGCAAGATTTCCTCCTGATCTGTAGATGCCTAAATACCTGTAAACAGCATCCATAATTATTTGTGCCTGCAAAATTGCAAGCACCAAACCAAAATCCAGGGTAAGGCCAAGCTGAAACGTGTCCCAATGGGTGCACAGCTGTGGCATCTGCTCCTGGGGACTGGGGCAGTGAAAACCATGTGAAGGGTGGAGGAAAGGGATCCCCCCCCCAACCAAGTAGAACATATAACAGTCAAATGTACATTCCCTTTTCATTCTGATTAACTACCTGGAGGTCAGCGATCCAGCAGGCTCCAGCGGGCAAATCCCAGCGACCCCCTCCCCGCCTGGCTGATGGCTTGTAGGTGTCCCTGGAGAAGGGGGTGTTGGGGGGGAGCAGCTCGGGAAGGGGTTCCCCGGGTCAGGGGGTTTGTGAGAAGCAGACGAGCCGAGGGGGGTGCCAGTCCTGCCCGCAGGGTGAGCAGCACGAGCCCCGCCGCAGCCTCCCAGCTCCCGCCCCACAGAGACCCGCCCCCCCCAGCTCCGCAGGGGCCCCCCACCCCAACCAGCTGTGGCCATCAGGGGAGCGCGGAGCAGCCCCAGGCTCTGGCGGCAGCGCGGCCCCCGGCCCGGCCCCACTGACCCAGAAGACGAAGTTGAAGGCGAAGAGCAGGAACTTGATGCAGCGCATCCCGCCCCGCAGGTGGCCCATGGTGGGCTCCGGCTCCGCGCCCCGGGAGCTGCCGGCGAGTCGGGGCGCGGCGGGAGGCAGGTGCAGGGGAAGGAGGAGGGGGCCTGGCCCGGCGGGGGCGGGCAGGAGCAGACCCCGCCCCTGGTGCCGTGCAGCCGGCGTCGGTGCTGGGGCTGGTTAGGGCTTTGCCGCGACTCCCCCCTGTCGGTGCGCGGCGGCTGCAGCCAGCCTGGCCCGCAGCCGGGGCCGCCCTGGGCCGGATTGCAAAGAAAAGGCTCTAGCTTCCCATTTGCATCCTCTCAGCCACTGGCCTGTCCGGGCGGGCAGCTGGGGGACGCTCCCAGGGACTCCCTGAGCAGCCCCCTTCCTTCTCCCCGGTTCTCTCTAGGCTGCTGCGCCTTCCTCCTTCACTGCAGGCTCCCAGCGCCTCCCTGACATATCCTGGCGGTGGCCGGAGCTTGTGCATGTCCTTAATGCCGTCTGACCTCCGGGGGAGCAGTGTGTGCGCCCCAGATGGTGGTTAGGCAGGGAGGGCGTTTTGTTTTTAAGCCATACGCTGCTCTGTGTTCCTAGCAGAGAGGGCACGCGGAGATAGGGTGACCAGACAGCAAGTGTGAAAAATCTGGACGGGGGTGGGGGGTAATAGAAGGCTATAAAAGAAAAAGACTCAGAAAGTGGGACTGTCCCTATAAAATTGGGACATCTGGTCACCCTACGCGGAGAAGGGTGCCCCGCACTTGGAGCAGAGATGGTGAGGGGGGTGGTTGTGCTTTGTTGCTGGGGGAGTTCACTCCATGAAACTCAAGAACAGAACATTTCTAAAGGGGGAAATGTTAAAGATACTTTCCCAATCCTAGCTGCTCAGACTTTTGCTTTCTGGGATTTGCATGAAAATGCAACGTTCAGTGTCAAGGATCCAGGAGTTGTACACATAGTAAGGGGGAAAGAAGAGGCTTATATAGGGATGGAGCCTTAATGGGCCATGACATAGAGTCATAGAAATGTGGGACTGGAAGGGACCTCAGTAGGTCATCTAGTCCAGTCTCAAACTATTATCTAGACCAGGGGTCGGCAACCTTTCAGAAGTGATGTGCCGAGTTTTCATTTATTCACTCTGATTTAAGGTTTTGCGTGCCAGTCATACACTTAATGTTTTTAGAAGGTCTTTTTCTATAAGTCTATAATATATAACTACACTATTGTTGTATGTAAAGTAAATAAGGTTTTTAAAATGTTTAAGAAGCTTCATTTAAAATTAAATTAAAATGCAGAGTCCCCCGGACCGGTGGCCAGGACCCAGGTAGTGTGAGGGTCACTGAAAATCAGCGGCACGCGTGCCATAAGTTGCCTACCCCGATCTAGACCAGTGGTTCTCACCCGTCCTTCTTTGCAACTGTAGGAGTTAATGCCCCCACCTGCCACATAAGTAAATATACCAATTAAAAAAATCAACATGCAGCTGTTACTAAATATTAAAAACAATAAGGCATTGATTCAAACGGAGCCAATTATCAATTATAATAAGAACAAAAGCAAAACTGCGATTGTGGTCGATGCTTACAAGTAAATTTGCACACTTCGTCATAGCAACTGCATCAAAATATAGATGGCAACAACTTTGAATAATGCTACACAAGCTTAGCAGAAATCCATCAAAATACACAGCGCTGAGGACCTCATACGTTCGGAGGAATTCACTTTGCTAGTTATTCATTGCTGTGGGTAAAAAGGGAGAATAAGGTTTTTTCCCCTAAAGCGTCTTATGCCCTCCCAGAATACATTCCGTGCCCCCCCAGGGGGGCCTACCCCTAGTTTGAGAACTTCTGATCTTGACTATCCTTGACAGGTGTTTGTCTAACCTAGTCTTAAAAACCTCCAATGATGGAGATTCCACAACCTTCTTAGGTAATTTGTTCCAGTGTTTAACTACCCTGACAGGAAATTTTTCCTAATGTCTGTCCTCAATCTCCCTTGCTGCAATTTAAATCCATTACTTCTTGCCCTGGCCTCATTGGATAAGGAGAACAATTTATCACCCTTCCCTTTATATACTTGAAGACTGTTATCATGTCTCCCCTCAGTCTTGTCTTCTCCAGACTAAACAAACCCATTTTTTTTCAATCTTTCCTCATGAGTCACGTTTTCTAGAACGTCAATCATTTTTGTTGCTCTCTTCTGGACTTTCTCCAGTTTGTCCACATCTTTCCCACAGTGTGGTGCACAGAGCTGGACACAGTACTCTAGCTGAGGCCTTATCAGTGAGTAGAGTAGAATAATTACTTCTGATTAGCTTACAACACTCCTGCTAATACAGCCCAGAATGAAGTGCTTTTTTTGAGCAGTATTACATTCTTGATGCTGTTTGTGGTGATCCATTATAACTCCAGATCCTTTTCTGCAGTATTCCTTCCAAGGCAGTCATTTCCCATTTTTGTATTTTTGTGCAATTGCTTATTCCTTCCTAAGTGTAATACATGTGTGGTTCTCCTCTGATTACAGTGCATGTATGGTATATTGTTCAAGTCTCTTCCATGTGGCTCTGACAGGCTTTTCAGCAGCCATTCCGTCACCCACAGCAGCTTTGAGAAGGAACATGTCAGAGACTGAGACTGCTTTGTGGACATCTGCCAGAGGCCACAAGGTGAGGCAGACGTTTTTGAGAATAGGATCCTTAATATTAAACATTTTATCCAAACATTTAATGTGTCAAGTGTTTATTTTCCATTTCATGTTGTAATAAAATAGTTTTATAGGGAGACTTCACCCATCTAGTTTGCTTTTGCATTTAGTGCCTCCATTTCTGAGATGCCTCCCTGCTGAGATCCCTCGAGAGGTTAATGTAGTGTAGCTTCTCAAGACAGAGAGATATGGAACTTATGTACAAATGAGAGATAATGGGGGAAACAAGGGCCTGTTTACTTGTGTGTGTACTGAATGCAATAAACCTGTTTTGTGACATGACAACCTAGGGATGGATTCTGGGGTTTGGTTTCTGTTTTTACTATTTTTCAGTGTTTATTTTTGGCTACTTTAGACCCTGGCAACTATCTAGGGAAACCCTTCCTCTGATTTGAATTGTGACTGAAGACATTTGATCAGGGATCTGCTGTTTCATTAGCAATGAAGCAGACACAGAATTAAAACAAAATCTCATTAAAACATCCAATATAGTTTGTGACACAAAAAGAAAAAAAGCACATGACCTCCCTCTGCTGCTCTAAGTGACCAAGAAGTGACCCATGGCAGGGTTGGTCCAGGAGAGTTTCTGTCACTATTAAAAACAAGGCAATTAAGGAGGAAGTTTCAGTCTTACTCACAACTTTCCTTCTTTTTGATTGTGTCTGACCCCAGACATATCTTATGACCTGATCCAGCAAAGCACTTCAGCATGGGCTTAATTTTGAGCATGTGAATAGCCCCATTGAAGCCTACAGGACTACTCGTGCTCAAAGTTAAGCATGTGCTTAAGTGATTTGCTGCCTTAATTCAGCTTATCATCATTCATTTCCTTTAAGATTCTGATGTAGAGAAGCAGAAGCCTTTCAGATAATAAAAAAGACTCAGTTATACAAGATGATTCTGTCTGCTTAAGCAATGCATAAATGAAAACATAAATATAAAATCATTCTGGTGATAAATGCTCCATGTTTCAGCTTCGTGAAAGAATTAAGTCGTGCACAGCAAAAAGACTAATACTTGTTTCTCTAAAAAAATATTGTGAAAGAGGGTTGTGCTGAAAACTTTCCATGAACTAAGTCAGTTACACTTTACCTTAATAGGCATCAAGAGTAAAGCTATCAAGGCAGCTGCCAGCTAATAACACAGTTCTCACTGCGTGCTGCATACAGTCTTGTGTGGTGATTGTAATGTTGATGCTTAGAACTCAATGTCCACTTTCCTACCCAGAAGTTTCCCACTGGGGGGCTTGGATTTTCTCCTTGAAGCGCAGGCTGGGTGAGAGGATTAATAAAATAGCATCTGAAGTATGAATAAAAGCTTAATTTATTTTGTGCAATATCTGCAAATTTAATGGAACAATACTGAAAAATTGAACACATTAAAGAGGGGCTCTGTGATATAGGAGAAGGACCTGGATTAAAGAGTCAATGCCTTTAAATCAAAGCCTCTGTAGTTTACACTTTACTACAGCTATCAGGCAAGCATTGTGGTGGGCAAGCATTGTGGTGTTACTGCCAGTGGGGGAGGGTCCTGCAGCTGTCATACGGCTCCTTTTGGAGTTTTTCTTGAATTTTTATTTGGGATGAATCTTGTATTTTCATCTCCTCTCCCTTTGCAAAAAGAAAAGATACTTGTCCCATTCCATATAAATCCTTTACGCCAATCCTTGTATCCCCCCACAGCTTTGCCATCACACGTAGATCCTGACCTGCAGTCCCCCTTTCGTATTTCAGTTCTGGAACCCAATCTACCCTGCACTGCTTTTCCCATGCTTCAACCCTCCAGCTGTTTCTGTCCTGGCCTTCTGCCATATGCACCACATTGTCTGATGGTTTTGTGATGCGCACAGGTAGGGATAGGATGAGAGCCAGCAAACTCATTTAACTTGTGACCAAGACAGTGGTGAAAGGCTTATGTGGTAAATATATTGCAACAAAAGCAGGTCTCATTCCAGCCAGCTCTTCAGCACAGTTCTGAAACAGTAACATACGAGCTACTGCCTGTGCTAGCACCTCTGCATCATGCTATGCAATACAAATAGTAAAATGTTCCCAGCTCCATAGACTCCCGAATCCATCATTTATCAGCTCACCGCGGTCCAGGAACATCCCTCTGGCACTGATATTGGGCTGGGAGAAGTAATGGCTAAAATAAAATTCTCTCCTCAGGTTAAAGCTTGTGGCCGAGGGCTAGATCCCCAAATGTGCCTCTGGAGCCAGAGGTATCTTTACGATGCATGCTGGAGAGGGGACCATAGGTGGCTCTGTGGTGCATGCCTTGTGCGGGAGGCACGAGTGCTTCACACCATCTTTTGGACTTCCCAATCCTGGAGGCTGTACCCGCCCTTGGCACAAGTTCGCGTAGCTTCGTAACTTGTGTCAGCAAATATCAGCTAACAAGAGGCTATTGTGCTGTCAAGGGTCACTGGAGCACATTACATTGCCCCCCCTCACTTCTGACAAGACCCCAGCCTAACCCAGAACACCAGAGGAAGGGGATAGGAGAGGCTATGCCAGCCCTACCCCAACTCAGGGTTCTCAGCTCTGGAAGAATACTCAGCTGCTGCCTCAAGGAGTGGCACAAACAGCACATATGAGTAGGGCCCTACTAAATTCATGGTCCATTTTGGTCAATTTCATGGTCATAGGATTTTAAAAATCGTAAATTCATGATTTCAGCTATTGAAATCTGAAATTTCACAGTGTTGAAATTGTAGGGGTCCTGACCCAAAAAAGAGTTGTGTGTGTGGGGTTGCAACTT